ATTTTTCCCATTTCATGAATTCTACTGTAACTTTCTTGCTTATATCTTTATATAAACACAAGTTTTAGAATTTGATGAATTTCCATTAATTATTATTATTTTTTGTTTTGTGACTTGTGCTTTTGGTGTCTTATCTAAGTAAGAAACCATTACCTAACCCAAGGTTAGAAAGATTTATGGCTATGTTTTCTTTTAAGAATTTTACATATTTAGTTCTTAAATTTGGTCTTTAATCCATTTGAAGTTAATTTTAATATATAGCATGAGGTAAGAGTCCAATATTATTCTTTGGTATGTGTATATTCTATTATCTCTGAAATATTTGTTGAGAAATTATTATTTTCCCCAATCTATTGTCATGGCCTTTGCTTTTTGAAAATGAATCAACCATCAATGTAAGGATTTATTCCTGGGTGCTCAGTTCTATACCATTAACTTATATGTCTATTCTTATATCAGCACCACAGTATTTTGATTACTAGAGTTTTGTAGTAGGTCTTGAAATCAAGAAGTGTGACTACTCTTTTAAATTATTGTTCAAGATTGTTTCAGAATTATTGTGGGTTCCTTGCATTTCCATATGGATTTTGGGTCGACTTGTTAATTTCAGCAAAAAAAAAAAAAAGCAGCTGGGATATTGGTAGAGGTTGTGTTGAATCTGTAGATCAGTATTTTAATAATAATATTTCTAGGTCTTTCAATTCATGACTGCTGGATGCCTTTCCACTTATTTCAATCATCTTTAGTTTTGTTCAATGTTTTGTAGTTTTCAGTGTACGTTTTTCATTTCTTGTGTAATAGTACTTGTGCTAAGTATTTGAATCTTTTTGATATTATTGTAAATAAAATTATTTTTCTAATTTCATTTTCAGATTGCCCATTGCTAGTCCATAGAAATGAATTGATTTTGTATTTTGCAATTTGCTAAACTTCTTTATTATCTCTAAGAGTCTTTTTGTGAATTCCTTAGGGTTTTTAATATGTAAAATGTTATCTGCAAATAGAGGTAGTTTTATTTCTTTATTTCCAATCTGAATGTATTTTCTTTTTCTTGACTAATTTTGCTTGCTAGAACCTTCACTCCAATGCCGAATGAAAGTGATAAAAGGGGAAATTTCTGATCTTAGGAGGAAAATGTTGTGCTTTTATCCTTAAGTATGACATTAACTGTAGGTCTTGTGGAGGAAGTTTCTCTTTTTACTTTGTTGTGTTCTTTTTATTCATGAAACAGTGTTAGATTTAACTGACATTATCAAGTGGTTTTATTTATCCTGAATAAAACATATTTATTAATATGTTATATAACATTGATTTGTTTTTACAAATTGAATGAGCCTTGCATTTTAAGGATAAATCCCACTTGGTCATCATGTATAGTCTTTTTTTTTTTTTTTTTAAATTTGTTGCTGAATTGTGTTTCCTTGGGTTGCCATAAGAAAGTACCACAGACTTCAACAACAGAAATTTATTTTCTCATACTAGTGGAGACAAAGTTAGAGATCAAGGTGTTGGCAGTCTCGATTTCTTCTGATGCCTCTCTTATTGGCTTATAGATGGTCATGATCTCCCTTCTTTTATAGATGGCCACCATCTCCCTTCTTTTCACATGTCTCTCCTATTGTTTGTCTGTGTCTTAATCTCCTCTTGTAAGGACTACCAGTCATAATGGATTAGGGTCCCAAACTTATGACCTATGAAGGTTCTATTTTTAAATACAGTGACATTCTGAAGTAATGGAGTTAAGGCTTCAACATATGAATTTGAGGGATACACAACTCAGCCCCTAACAGCTAGTATATTCTTAAGGTCTTTTGCATTTATAGTCATAAGAGATATTTGTCTTTACTCTTTTTTTCCTATGATACTTTTGTTTGCTCTTGATATCAGTATAATCTTGGCCTCATAAAATAAATTAGAAAGTTTTCCTCTTCAATTTTTTTTATGTGTGTGGAATATTTGTGAAAAATTGGTGTCAATACTTGGCAAAATTCACCAGTGAAGTTCTTTTGCTTTGAACTTTTCTTTGTGGAAAATTATTTGATTAACAACTCAATGTTTTCACATGTTACACCCATATTCAGATTGTCTGTTTCTTCTTGAGTCATTTTGGATGGCCCATGTCTTTCTGAAAATTTGTCAATTTGATCGACGTTATCTAATTTGTTGTAATAAATTTGCTTATACTACTACCTTAAAATCCTTTTTTTTCTGTAATTGATAGTTAAGTTCCATCTTTAATCCTTGAATTTATTGTTTTGAGTCTTCTCTATTTTTTTCTTTGTCAATGAGGCTAAAAGCTTGTCAATTGTGTTGACTTCTACTTTGACTTTGTCTATTGTCTATTTTGCATTTATTTCCACTCTAATCTTTATTTTTTAAAAATTCCACTTATTTTGAGTGTAGTTTGTTCTTTTCTTTGAGTTGCAAGATAAGATTATGAATTTGAAACCTCTATGTTTTAATATAGGCAATCCAATAATTATTGGTATGTTGTGTTTTCATTTTCACTCACTTGAAAACATTTTTCTAATTATCTTTGTGATTTCTCCTTTGACCAATGATGTTGTTTAATTTCAACGTATTTAGAGGTTTCCAAATTTTTGATTTGATTTGATTGATTACTTATTTTATTCCATTATAAAGAACATACTTTCTATGATTTCATTCCTTTTTAATTTTTTGATTTGTGTTATAACATAATATGTGGTTGGTCCTGGTGAATGTTTTATGTGGGTTTGAAAATAATTTGTATTCTGCTGTTGTTGGGCGGTGTGTTTCATGGATGTTATGTCTAGCTGTCCTATTCATAATTGAAAATGAAGTATTGAAGTCTCCATTTGTTATTGCTACATTGTTTATTTCTCCCTTCAGTTCTTTCAGCTTTTACTTCATGTATTTTAGGGCTCTGTTGTTCAGTTGCTAGATGTATATATTATTTATAATTTTTATTTGCTTTTGATAAATAAATAAAAAGTTTTGACCCTTTTATTCCAACAAATAATAACTCTGTCTTTGTATATATTAAAAATTTTGTCTTAAAGTCAATTTTGTGTGATATTAGCACAACACTTTTTTTTTGTTTTTGTTATGGTTTTAATGTATGCATTTTTGGAACTTTTTACTTTTCAACCTATAACTGCCTTTGGATCTAAATTGTGTTTCTTATAGAAAGAACCTGTTAAATCATGCATTTTAAAATCAAATTTCCAATCTCTATCTTTTGTTGGACTGTGATTTACGGCTGTTTTTGCTATTTGTTTTCTACATGAGTTATGTCATTTTTGGTCTGTCATTTTTCTTTTGTGTTAAAAATGTTAATATGTATTTTAATTGCCTTGTTCTTTTACTGTATCTTTTTTGAATAATTTTCTTAATGATTTTCTTTTGAGATTATAACTAGCATTTAAGTTTATTACAATCTCTATTAAACTAATGTAAATTTAACTGCAATAACATGGAAAATTTTGCTTAATATAGCTCCATTTTCTTCTTCCCTTGTTTGTGCTGTTATTGTCACACATATTATATCTTCATAAATTATATGCCCATAGCTATGCAATGATTACTTTGTGCAGTTGTCTTTAAAATATAATAGGAGATAAAAAAGGGTATTGAAACAAAAATGTATTTATACTTATACATTTCTTATATCTGCCTATAAAACAACCTTCCAGGTGCTTTTTATTTCTTCCCTGGATTTTAAAAAGTATTTCTCTTAGGAGAGCTTGGCAAACAACACATCCTTTCACCTGTTATTTATCTGGGAATATCTTAATCTTGATTTCATTTTTAAAGATTAATTTTGCTGGATGTAAAATTCTGGATTGACAGTGTTTTTATTTGTGCACTTTGAGTATGTCTTGCCCAGTGTCTTCTGTTCTTTAGGGAAGCAGTACCCAATCTTTTGACATCAAGGTCCAGTTTCCTGAAAGACAAATTATTCCAAAGATGGGAGTGGGATGGAAGTAGGGGAGGTGTGGATCATCAGGCGTTAGATTCTCATAAGGTGTATGCAACCCAGATCCCTCACATGTGCAGTTCACAATAGGGTTCATGCTCCTATGAGAATCTAATGCCATCACTGACCTGACAGAAGATGGAGCTCTGCTCACTCGCCACTTACCTTCTGTGTACAGCTGGATTCCTAAAAGTACCAGTCCGTGGCCTGGGGGTTAGGAGTCCTTGCTCTTGGACTTCTGTTAAGAAATCAGTTGTTAATCTATTTGGGGATCTCTTGTATATACAGAGTAATTTTCCTTGCATCTTTTCAAAATTCTTTGTCTTTATCTTTCTACAGTTTAACAGTTATGTGAATAGCTGTGTACCCTTTGAATTTTATTCCACTTAGAATTTTTGTGACTCTTGTATGTGTAGATTAATACTTTTCATAAAGCTTAAAAGTTCATATTCTTCAAACGTCATTTTGTTTTCTCTCTATATGAATTATTTCTTCAAATGTCATTCTGCTTTCTCACTATATGAATTTGACTATTCTAGATATACCTTATATAAGTATTTATCTTTTTGTGTCCAGTTTATTTGTTTCACTTATCATAATGTCCTCAAGGTTTATCTACATTGAAGCTATGTCAAAATTTCATTTTATAATTGTACATCTATGTGTGAGTGTGTGTGTGTGTGTGTGTATTTTTAAAATTTATTTATTTCCACTAGACAATGTGTTCCTTGAGGGTAGGGATTTTATATATACATATATATATAATATTTAAAAAATATATAATATATTTTTATATCTATATTTTTATATTGGGAAAGGGAATAAAAAGAAAGTAGTCCCTCTACTGGGTCCTATTCAGTGGTAGTTTTTTGTCCCATAGGGTTAGGGAAGGCTTTGAGGAAATAAAAGTTGTTTGGAAAAATCCAGGTGTAGTTACTTTGTATATTGTGATGGGCAGGAGGGATGAGTTGACGTGTGAAGTCCCCTCACACCCTCCATCTTGCCTCAGACTATGTCTGGAGCCCTGGGGGGTGCACTGCTTTCACTCCTGTTTCTTGGGGTTGTTGATGGCCACATAGTGGTAGAGGATGACGACCGGGAAGACCCACATGCCCAGTATGTTGGTGCAGATGGCCAGCTGCACGTGGGTGATCATCTTGAGGAGGACCTGGATCGGAACTCTGCAGTGCTGCTCAGACACCCACTGACCACTTCTTTTTATTAAAATGAAATATTTTAAATTTATTTGTATATCCTGTGCAAATACAAGTTTGATAAAAGTGGACATTAACACTTATACATTTAGTTTATTTTTTGGCAATCATTTTGCCAGCAGTCTCAGCCATTTAAAAAAAAATTGTATTTCCTCACTTGAAAAAGTTAAATTGTTCCTTGATTGCCATCTCAAAACACTTCACTCAGCAGAATTTTGACACCAGTTGTTTGCTGTTTAAGTTTTTAACATTTTGGCTAATGGAGCTATTGCCCATTAGAGCAGAATTATTTTTCTGAATTGATGGGCTCTCAAGCAGGAAAGTATCGTTAAGCTTACTTCAATGGCAACCATTTAATGGATGCCAACAGCCATCCATGTTTTAGATAGATTTACTGACTATATATATCTATAATTCGGTATGAGGAGTAGTATTTCAAAGTGAATATTTGTATCACAGATTATTCTGTAAATTTTTCTTTAGGTCATCACAGACTCTTGGTGGCTAAGATGCTATTTTATTATTTATTAATAATGTTTTTTTCTCATAGTTATTTTCTATAAATATTGGCTTTATGAATCCCTTCAATTTTGTTCTTTACAGAGTCAACAAACAGTTCAACATGATTTGGAATAGCCTTATTTTCTTTGTCTTTCAGAAAATCTGGTTGTGTCATTGACAAGGTTAAAAGCAATGGATCATTTCCCAGATATGAGCTGGACAAATACAAAAGAGTCCATGGGAAATCTCCTCAGTGACTGAGCAATGTTGTTGGTATTCCCTATGGTTTAATTCCCTATTTCACTTCTTTTTATAATGCCCTCTAAACTCTATTTTGCACAGTTATAACAGAAACAAACTTCGTTCTCCTCCCCGAATTTTAGAACCTACTTGATTCTAAAGACTCCTAAAGGATTTGTAATTTTTCTTTTATAAAATGTCTTCTATCTTTTCAGTTCTTGTTGTGCATTCCTAGCAGGCATAAACTTTTGACACTTTCATGTATTTTTATTCTATCCTGAAAACATATGGAGTCTTCCTGGGTACTCTTCATTTTCATATTTTTATACCCTCGATTATTTTGTTTTCAGCTTATACCCTTAATAGTGTTGTGATTTTGTTTAACTTCCTTGAGTTCTTTCAATCTCTGAAACCAAAACAATGATATCTCTCATTAGATTTTTGAAAGAAAGAATGAGAAAAGGGACTTTAGAAAAACATGTGCTTGATACAACCAAGTTAACTCTTTTCTTTCAATTCCAACATAATCTGAAACATTCAGATTACACCTATCATTTTCTTTCTTATTTACTTGTATAAATTTTTGTATCTGCCTCTTCAGAAATAGAAATTGCTGAGTCTAAGATTGTTTTCTTATATTTAATCTTCTGCAGTTCTATCCTGTATGCTATAGAGAGTAATATTGATTTATTAAATAATTCTTTAGTAAATCTTAATTGTTTGGTAATAATCATAAAGTAATACAGAAAAAGACCATCAGCATTTGACACTCCCATCATGTCACTTAATATTAGTTCTTGGAGCAGATGAGTAAATTATAGTCTTACAGACTTAGCTTATCATGATAATGGCTTTTTAGCTCTCATAGTCACATTATAAGGTATTTTTATATTTGTTTATGAAATATTTCTATTTATTTTCAGGAGAGTTAAGGCCAAGTATTCAAATTCTCAAAAGCCCCTGTCTAACTGCATCTTAAAAGAGCAGTTACCTAGGAGGTAAAGACAAGTAGTACAATCTGCATAAAATAGTATACTGAACTCAAGACACTAAATCAGCAAAAAATGAACTTGCTGTCCACTTGAGTGGATATATGTTTTGACCACAAATATCATAAGAATTTAACATAGTCTTTTCACATTATGTAAGAAATCATTCATAGGTAATTTTTTCATAGGTGTTGTTGATATAACAACTCTTTATATAAACATCTGACACTGACATAGTGCCTCCTAGTCTCAAAAATACTTACAAATATTTTAATTATTTGTACACTCAATATGACATTGTCATTTTAAACTGATAGCTTGACAAAGCAATTGAATTCTATTTAGTGTGTGAATTATTGGTGAAGAAAACTGGTAAGTACACAATTTATGTGCTCCATAAATTTTAGTTTAGCCTGAACATTCCAGGTTTGAAGTATTACAATGTTTTTTTAAAGTATGTATTTATTAGAAATAAAAGATAAGATGAATATCTTATCTGGGTCTATCTTTGTGTGTTTAGTCTCTGTCAAACTGATTCACTTAGAATATATTCTTTATTTTATTTTGTATTTTATTTTTTGCTGTGGTAATAATTCACTTGAGATCTACCCTCTTAACACACTTTCAGTGCACAATACTGTATTGTTAATTATAGGCACAATGCTGTACAGCAGACCTCTAGAACTTATATTTTATGTAACTGAAATTTTATATCTATTGCAGTTTTTCTCTTGTCCCCTCCTCCAGCTTCTGGCAAACACCATCCTACTCACTGTTTCTATGAGTTTGACTATATTTTATACCTCATATGAATGAATCATACAGTATTTACCCTCCTATGGCTGACATTTTTCACTTATATAATATCCTCCAGGTTCATTCATGTCATAGCTAAAATAATTGAAATCAGGATCTCAAGGAGATACCTGCATTCTCAGGTTCACTGCAGCACAATTCACAATGACCAAGATTTGATACCAATCTAAATATTCATCCATGGATAAATGGATAAAGAAAATGTGATAATACAGACAATGGAACCTTATTCAGCCATAAAAAAGAAAACCTTCAAAATATCTTCTAACATTCATGGATTTACTTTGCCAGCCTTCTCTGACATATATTTTACCATATGTATTCTTCAAAACTGTCCCAAAATATTTTTTTGGAACGAGGCTTTGTATACATAACTACAGTAAATCTATGAATGCTAGAAGATATCCTGAATATTTCCTTCTTTTTTATGGCTGAATAATATTTCATTGTAGATATACTCCACACTTTCTTTGTCCATTCATCCATCTATGAATCTGTAGGAGACAGTTTAGATGAGTATATGTGGTACAACACATGTGCCAACTTCACTGATCAAGTTAATTTTAGGTAGAGCAGTTAAAATGGAAAATATTCCAAGCAGTAAGAAATGGCATAAAATAACAAAAATTAGAGGTAAAGCTCAAAACAAACAAAAAAGTGTTCATTTTTACACTCCACTGCCAGTTTCTCAATGGTGCCATTTCCTAATGTTACAATATGGTAACATCAGTAGCACTAACACAACTTAACTTCAAAATTTTCTCCTAAATCATCACTGACTGCATTTACCTTCTGTTCTCTGTAACCCTTGTGAATTTTTTAAAATTTTTAATTTTATGCAGTTACTATGTGTACAAGGTAAAAAGTAAGGAAGATGCAAAAATAAAGTCACAAAATGAATGCAAAGTAATTTTCCTCTTATTTCTATTTTCCATCCAGTTGGCAACCCAATTTTATATGGTTCCTGTTATGTTGTTATTCATGTTGTCTACTTATGGAGATATTCTATGCAAATAAGAAACACATGCATGCTTTTCTCTTTTCCTTTTCATTTATTAATGTGGCTTTAAGATAATTTCAGGATTGATTTTAGAAAATGTACAAAGAAGGAAGGAACTTGCAAGGAAGTTCTTTACTTTTTCTAGTAATTCCCCTATTTAAGAAAAAAATCAGAAACCTTGAGCTCATACTCTTCCCCAAAAGTATTTGTGTAATATTAGGCAAATAATTTTAACATTTTTGGATCCAAGTTTTTTGACTTGCAAAACATATATTGGTCTGGAATGTTAGAACTGGACTATTTATGTTGAAAAATATTTCAGGAGGTCATAGAGCCTATTTTCTTGCTACTAGCTAGGACCACAGTTACCTCAAAAACATAGTTTGTGTTCTTAGCACAGAAACAGAAGCAAGCATCTGAGTGATGGATTAGTTAGAGGCTTAGCTATGAGCCAAGAAAATCGTGCTTTAGAGCTGACTCTGTTACTAACTTACAGGGAAGGACTGAATCATTTACATTGCCTCTTTGAGCCCTTTTGAACATATACTGTGAGTCAGGCACTATGCTAGAAACTGGAGTTAAGTGTGAACAATGGACACCTTAAGGAAATTATACATAACATGTAGATAGTAAAAATACTTACACGTATGTGAACATAGTGCAGAACTTATACCTAAGTGTAGACAGCTAGCACACACACACAAATAAATATACAAGATGATTGTGGCTGTGAAAAGTGAAGTTAAATAGAGTAATATTAGTGATAATAAACTGCAGAGCTCACACTTTGAGCTTTGGCATTCTGGGGGCAAAATCACAAACCTGCCTCTGGTATTTTAAACTTTGGAGGAAAACACCGCAAGACTCAACATCTGTCAGATGCTGCACAAATGTCTCAACATTTTTTTGATGGCATATCGCTATGAAGTTGCTTTTTAATGCTTTCTCTGAAAAAAAATTAGACCCAAGTGAAAAGAGATATGAGAAAGGAAACGAGGATGGTGGCTCCCAATAAGTAAGTATTTGTGTTTAGGGATGAAATACAATATAATGTCTCTTTTTCAGTTGACATGTCTTGCCTGCTCAAATGGCTACTAACTTGTTAGGCTCTAGATAGGCTGAATCTCACAGCTTCATAAACAGAGTTGTCAGGTTTTTTCTTGACCTTGGGGTGCTCTAGACCACAGAGGTTGAATGGAGCCTTTAGGCGGGACATCCTTTTAATTGGATTTTAGAGGAGACCTCTTTGAAGAGATGACAAATGAGGGAGTCCTGAAGAAACAGATGGAGTCATTCAAGTGAAGGGCAAGTGAAAAGGTCCTGAAGATAAAAATGACCTAGTGTTTTAAGGGAAAAGGGGTGGGGGGGGCATCTAGATTGCAGCGTCTAAGAGGCT